CCTATTGTTAATTTGAGTGCGTAGCGTATTCCGAAAAACCAGTATTGCAGCTTATTAAAAGAAAAGTAATGTGATACACAGAGAAAATAAGTGTGCATACTTCGTTCCATGGCTTTTGTTGTAGAGATACTTGAAGTTTTGGATTTCCTATGACTCTCGTACACAGAAGTTGGTAATCTTTTATTGACGATTGCCCATTTCTTAATCTATTTAAAAGCTCCAAATATCTTATGTCTTCGGTTCGCATTTGCTGAGTTAATTCAACGACGCAGTTTATTTCAGACATAAGCTTCTGTGCACATAACATATCTATCTGGCGTTTTGTAACTTGCTGTGTCGATGTGCAGGCATAGTAGAGAGGCTTGTCCAAAACAGGAGAATATTGAAGGTAGTCGCTGAAGAAAATGACATTGACACCACCAAAAGGTATCTCATAATTGACGTGCTTGGCTGTTTTCACTATTCGATTGAGACGAGCTAATAGGCTAAGTCCTACCATACTTGTTTCATCGATTACCACGTACTTTACATGACACAATTGATTTTCCAATTTCGTATCACCAGGTCTAAATGTACGGGCATTTTTTCTTTTTAGTGTTTTTGCGACTTTCACCTAAAAATGAATGGATAGTCAATCCGTCAATCTCAGCTGCTGCTATAGACGTTGGCGCCAGTTTACGCAACATCTTGCCCCTCTTGGTTACTTGAAAATACTTGGTAATTGCACGAGTTAACTGAGATTTTCCAGTACCACCGCAACCAGATATGCACATTAATAACTGATTATCGATAGTATCTAAATATCAAGACTATTCAAAATTTTCAATAACAAAATCAAGAAAATATACCGGTGTGAGCATGATTTTCGCCATCTAAGTGACTAGTTATAATCATGAAAGCATATTTTTGCTGAGTATTTAGTGTAAATTGTTTGACGATATTCTGTTTTGTGGGAAATAAAACCAAATTGGTTGCAGTTACAGGTAGGACTCTCGTAGCTTTCGTTTTAATTGAGCTTGTTGGAATTTCAGCACCTACGACTTCAATCTGTGTTTCATCATCTCGTACTTCCAGAGTATCTTCACCTGAAATTAAATAGTTTCTTGTTTCGTCTCGTCGGGCTTCAATATCACGTTTCCACTCCTTAATCGTGGTCGTATGATGCTCGCGAGCTACGACAAATATGTGGACGTCGTGTACGATACCATAATTATTTTCGCCCGGACAACGTGTACGGTCAAAATCAAACTAAATGTTTTCGAAATATGACAGTAATTAACTCACCATTGAGTAGTGCAAATCTGTCTCTATTATCAATTGCTTCTAATGCATCATGAACATAGCGTTATTCTTGAGTAACTGTCAATGCAGAGTAAGCGTTTGTGGTGGTCTCTTTTACGATGGAGAGAATTTGCAAAAGTTGTTCTGGATCATCTTCGTCTGCATTTTCATCACCTTCATAGTAGTTAGGCATCAAAATAGGGTCAATGTTGTTTTCATTTTGGGCTTCTAAAAGAACTTGATAAAGGTGATCATCTCGATCGTGTTTGCATTCGTGCAAAAGCTCTATATTTTCTATAATCTTAAGCGAGTTGGAAGAGATAAATAATCTTCGAGCTTCCAATGCTTCTGACCATGTCTCATTCAGTGCACAAAGGTCCTGAACTGATCGCCATGGAACGAATAATGTTAACAATGCGCGACAATAACGTTCATGCGTTTCTTCTCGTTCGCGGCGAGGTATTTGAGGACCTATCAGGACTGGTACTACTGGAATGGAACGTTTAATTATGAGATGAGATAATGATTGCGGATGTGCGCTGTCAAATGTATGATGTTCATTCATTTTCGTTCCTTCTGTAGGTAATTGTTGGCCTTGAGAATTGGTTACATTCTTTAGTAAACGACGATCCGATTTGTCGATAACCTTCTTATGAAAATGGCTGACGAAATCATATAAACACACTGCACTAAGATCCTTTGATCGGTGCTGATAATCAAGACGAGTATTGACCAAGACATACTGATCGCCGTTGTTGGTTTTTGTGGGTTCTAATAAAAATTGTTCTTCGATTTCGTTTTTACCTTCTCCTTGTTCATCGTAGTAAGGCGTTGAAGTCTCTAGAAAACAACATGTTAAAAATCTATACAATTATTTTAAAAAGTTCTACCATCTATTCTGTCTTCAACAATTTCTTTTTCGTTAATTCGTGCTTTATTTAGTTCTGTTTGTAGATAGGTTTCGATTGAAATAAGAAAAAGATTTTTGAACGTATGTGTAGTGTAGTGGTCACCATAGTTCATCAGATATGATGCAACTTGAACACCTGAAACTTCTTGTTGTGAAGCAATCATATTGAAGCAGCACAACACTAGTTTACGCGATTTGTCAACGATATTATCTGTGGTATTAGAAGTTCGTTCCTGCTCAATAGATTTGATACCTTGTTGTGCAAGCGCAAACATATCGTGGAAGGCCAGAGTAGACATTGTTACATAATCAGTTATATAGTAGACTAATGCTTTGGCGTCGTTACCACTCCAGATGAATTTAATGTCCATATTCGATCGGCACGCACTTAAAAACCATTCATTAAAGTTATTGATCCACGGATGTGATCGACGCATAGTTATCTGACCTGTTGTAAGGTCAATATTAGAAACATTCACTAGTGCGCGTCGCATGCCCATTCGACACCTTTTTGAACTATCATTTTTGCCTTTAGAATATTTATAGCAAGTTGCAGAATGCTTGTGAATATTGCAGGTTTCGACCAATTGAACTACATCTTTGCGAAACGTTTGATCGAAGTCTTCCGATGCAGGATTTGGTGTTGGGAGACATGGTGGTATAACTTCACTTGCTGTCGATCCAATTTCTCCTAAGATGAAGTGAGAATTATAATTAAAGATCTACTAAAAGCTTCAAAGCTCACCAATTAATGTTCTACTGTCGCTTGTCGTACTTGCTCCGTCGTTGGTTTCATCTTAAAAAAGAATATTGATATTCAAAAGTACAAAAAATAGAAGTCTCATAAATATATAGTAAGAATAAGTGATCGGAATGAAATATGTTTTGCATTAATGAAAATTTTTAAAATGTTCTGAAAGCTCAAGTTCAAGGTAAGGCAGCGATGCACTATTAGGGTGTAAAATAGGGGTCTGCATTTCCATGGAAACCGTTCCCGGTAGCGCCACAATCTATACTTCCTTCTATAGGTAGTGGCGCTACCGGGAACGGTTTCCATGGAAATGCAGACTCCTAGTGTAAAACAGCATCAAGTAGGCAAATGTAACAACTTCAAATGACAGATTCGAACAATGTTAAATATATTACCTCGAAACGAATCTAAATCTTCTTTTATAATATCTTCTAAATATTTTAGTAAATTTTCACGAAAATCTTGATTTTAAATATTTTCTTTCAATTGTGCTGGAGTATATTCATGATTGAGCCAAATCAAGAGATGTAAATGGAGCGATCCTCTTCCTTAACTTTCTACAGTGCCGAAATACGCTTTTGCAGAACCAAGTACACCGCCCAGTAGTAGGCTTTTCAAAATGCTTTTTATTAAACAGTTGAAGAACTTTGCAGTTGCAACAGGGTGCGTCGCGACAATTTGAGCACGCTCGTAACTTGTACACAGGACTTCTGGCAGAACGTTATCAAGATCGAGATCGACCCCTCCAAAGTAAAGTGCCACTGGACTATGGATGTCGGCCGGATTGATTGTGAGGAAAAGGCTAGGAAGGCCAAGATAAAAACACAAAGAATGAATTTTCGTCCAAAGAGCTGATCGTGAATGAGCTGAGCCCATGACATGACCACCAATAATTTTGATATGTTTCATCAATGTACTTATTCTCTCGTCAGTGAATAAGGCGCTTTTGAGATATTAATAAGGGCTGCTGCTACATCTTCAGAACTCAATGAGTTAAGAACTTGTGCAGATTGTTGAAACCACGATCTTGTTATCATTAATTGGGCGTGGAAACATGCTGTTCGGCATTGTAAAATATTGAAGACAACGAATATAAATGAATAGTGTTCTTCAAAGCGGCGATCTGCATACGAAAGAAGATATCTGAGATGCTCACGAAAATTGATTTGAATCGGTCGAGAACCATCCTCAAGCCCACCACATTCATATGGGAATAGGGTAGGAAAGATTTCTAATAAAAGATTTGGATTAGAATATTCATTGGCCGGTTTGTTGCCACGAGGAATTATGTATACAGTGTCTTGTTTAGAGTTTTGCTCGGTGTCTTTTCCGTGTGTTTTTTCTGGCACTTGTGCTTTGATTCGTTCTAAAAGATGTTCAGCAACTTCATCAGACGACACTTTGGTACTATTGACATCTAACACAGCACTATAACATAAACAATATTAGTACCAAAATATCAACATGTCTCTTTGTCTTACCTTGAGATTATAGGTATAGCTGTTGTATTGTTAAATTCAGATGCATTGGTCAACGGATCAGGAAGGTAACTTGCTCTTTCATTTTCAGCTGCTTCTACATTAGTAGAAACTTCCATGGTTGCCCATAAACACTCCGGTACATCATCTTCAGGTAATTTGCTGATTATTAATTGATTAATTGTAACATTACGATATAGAGCATTATTCTGTCTAAGCCTTTGAAGTGCTTCGAAAACTTTCTTTTTTCGAACGGTCAAAACATTTTTTAATTGGTTTCGTTGATGAGGACGACATCCAACAAAGATTATCTTTAGAGAATCACATAGATCATCTAAATCTAGTGGTAAGGTAGTAGCTATGTTAATAACATCTTGGGGAAAACTTATGCAATTCCTTCTTAAAGCTGACTGAGCTGTACTTGTCGAATGAAAAGACGAATGTAACTTGACAATGCAACCATTGTGCCGCTAAAGAGCGATCAGTTTTTCCTCATGAATTGTTAGTCCTTGTAGTTCTTCTGGGACATCTCCAGCCCATATTTTGTTGGCAGGCGAAAATTTCGGTACTTTCCCTTTTATTAGAGACGACCAACACTCCGAACAAATGTTGCAGTGTATCGAATATCGTTTTTTTCTCTCAACAGTTTTATGCAATCCTGCTTCATAAAAAACGATACCGTTTACATAAGTAAACTCCTGTTTATTCATTGTTGATTGAGCATGCGTATCTATAATTAAAAAAATTATTTACTGTATTAGTTTACGTACTAGCGAGACTAACCTGCTGCTCTTTCTTTCTGAATCAATGCCTTGACAAGATCACCACTCATGTTAAGCTTATCATGTGACTGGAATTGGTACGTTTCCTGCATTCCCGGAATTATGTCATAAAAATCGTTGGGTACTTTCAGTAATTCAATAGACGGTATTTTACTGAACGGTATATGGTAGAAATCACGTTTGTAGCAACGAACATTACAAATACCGCAAACACCTACTTGCAGAGAACTCATCGACATATGTTGAATAAAGTTCTTTAAACAGTTTTTCTTACGTTCAATATCAATAGGTTTTGGCCATTCAAAGTCGTTACTTTCTTGTTGGTGCTTGTCGCTTTATCGAAGCCACTTTCTCTGACGAGCAGATGCACGCTGTCATTCGAGTTCATCAGATGTATAAGTAGCTTGTCTTGCGGTACTTCTTTTGCAAGCTACCACACACTGTTCTTCAGCTTCTTTTGGTGATGCAGTAGCTCGTTTATTCATACTTCGTTCGGCAGCAAGTGTTCGTTGTAGCTGGATCTCTTTCGATGTAAAAGTAGCTCTCCATGCTACAAATTTCTCACGAGTTAGCTCTCGCTGGACTTCGATTTCTTGCACTGTTAAAGCAGTTCTTCTGGCTGCACTTCTGTCTCGAGTCATAGTACGTTCATGTTCAAGTTATTCTGATGTTAAAGCAGCTCTTCTAGCTGCAATTCTTTCTCCTGCAAGGGGCCGCTCTAGTTTAGCTTGTTCTAATGTAAAGGCAGCTCTTCTGATAGCGCGTCTTTCACTTGCAAATATCCGCTATATTTCAGCTTCCTCTGGTGTAGCTTGAGCTCGGTTAAAAGCCATCCTTTGACAAGCTTGTGATCGTCTTTTGTCAATATTCATGTTCTTCGCGCTCGTGTGAGTCTCACTTGCTTGTACTATTCGTTTAGTTCGAGAAGTTGTTGCGGTTTCCTGGCTTACCATGTAATAGGTCGATGATGTTTGAAATTGTTGAATTTTATTATTCTCCATATTAAATTCAGGAATGCAAATTCGAGTTAGTACGTTATTCTTCGTTGTTGAATTAGTTGGCGTCTGTAAGTGAAAGTGTGTTTTATTTGTGTAAAAGGTTCTGTACTAAAACATTAAACTCACCGAGCGTGACACAGCGGATTTCGGTTCAGTCAGGTTACTTTGATTCTGAGACTCACTCGATGGAAGTAAAAGTGGTACGAAATTATTAGGTGTCCAATTATCAACATTACTTTTACTTGTGTCTCTTTCACTTTGAGTATGTAACCAGGATATATAAATTGTTTTAGATGAAATACTGGATTGAGCATGCTCAAACGTACTATTCATGATGTCTAGATCAGGTCGATAATCAATTCTAGGATATATAACTTGTATATTGCATTGAAGAACATTGCTCAAGGCTGCGATTTCATAAAGTTCCGAGAATGAAAAATGATGGGTGATATTTTTATCACCTCATTGAGTGGTCCAACAATATGTGCAAGACGATTGCTGTAGAGAGTTTCATTTTTTACGAGTTCTATTACATTTTGAATTAGAAAGATTGTATTAACAGAACTGAATAGTAAAGTTGGAAGTACCTATCTCTCGGTTCGCAAGATATCAAAACTGTATTATCAGTCAAACATACGATAGAGTTATAGAGACAATTGCCATCTGCAATGACGTCAATTGTAACCATATTTTGAACGCCTAAAGATGTCCGCTGAAGATATGATTTGGCTTCTTGGTCTACCTTATGAATAACTAGGTTGAAATGAGTAACGCGTGCAAATCGTATCGGTGTTAAAAGCCAGTCCATCTAAATTGCTGAGACCACATAAATCGAAACCTCTTTTGCGAAAACTTACGACCCTGATTTGTCCACAAATAGCCTTGATTCGATCATAATAGCCGTTAGCTGTGGATGCCTCGTCAAGTTCCATTAAAAGTATTTTAAATACTTTAAAATGATTTGTTTTGAGACAATTTAAGCAGCAAGGAGCTTTTGTCAATTTAGAACAAAAAGGGACACCGATAGGTGTGGATGTGGGTGTGGGCATGGGGTACGGGTGTAGGCTTGGGTGTTCATGTAGATGTCCTCGTCTCACAGCCACACGCACCCATCGCCGCACATTCACACCCGAAATGAATTCTCTTCCTCAAGGCTGGGTTTTGTCCATACGTAAATCGAGCATACATATTTTAGATGAACAGTGTAGGTACTTAAAAAAAAAATTAGATGAAGGCGTTTCCGGTATGAAACGTTGGAAACCGAAACAGTTTGTATTAGATAGGGAGACCTTGAAAGAAAACGGCAAGCTTTACTTTTCGGCTATCCAAGTTTAAAATGAAAATGAGGTTTGCTCATTTTTCTGTCAACTAAAACGCGAACAACAGATGATTGCCACTCAAAATTTGTCAGATAGTAAAATCCTCATCGAAAATAAACCCGTCAAAAATACTGGTAATGATATTGAGAACGAGGAAATTGACTTTGAACTTGAAACATTAAACTAAGATTTTCAACACTGAAAAAAAAATGGTACCATACCGAACCAAAAAAGGTATTTTAAACGAAAAAAGGGTTTCGTACATCGTACGGAACCTAAAAAGGTTTCGAATTCGTTCCAATTCTCTGAACCATTTTAGGTTCGGTACAGACCACTTCGAAAAACTTGAAAAAGTGTCCTGAGTCAATGACAATCAATTTTAGTCACCGAAAGTTTTGTACGAAACCTTTTGAGGGTTTCGTATTGTCTCCCTAAATGGTTCCGTAATCATACAAATTTTTCTGCAGCGTACCGAACCATTTAGGAAGACAATACGAAACCCTCAAAAGGTTTCGTACAAAACTTTCTGTGACTAAAATTGATTGTCATTGACTCAGGACACTTTTTCAAGTTTTTCGAAGTGGTCTGTACCGAACCTAAAATGGTTCAGAGAATTGCAACGAATTCGAAACCTTTTTAGGTTACGTACGATGTACGAAACCCTTTTTTCGTTCAAAATACCTTTTTTGGTTCGGTATGGTACCATTTTTTTTTTCAGTGAAGATATTGAAATTGCTCTGTAAGAGATCAAAATGCTAGCAAGCTTTAGTATGAATGCTAAAATGGCACTTGAATCATCTCTTTAAATGTATTCCCAGCTACAACCACTCCTCTGACATTAAAGAAAACCAAATAAAATATAAAACAGAACCAGGTTTACCGGATTAGGGCTAAGTCATTCTAAATAAACGGATGGGTACGGTTTTACCGAGTTATGCTCGCGGGAACATACCAATGGGCACGGATTTTCTGAATAATGACCATTGATAAAGAATTATATTGTTTGCATGAGTGCGGCTTTTCCAAGTACCCTTCATAGAAAATAAAGGGACATGTGTTTTCCGAATAATGTCCCTCCTCTTCAGGCATCATGGGCTCTACGTGCCGAAGAGGAGAAGCACGTATAAGATTCCCCTTAAACGTGACCATCAATCCTGCGTCTTGTATAAAGTAAGTGTACAACTATTTAAACAATACTTTAACTTCCACTGAAGTAAAATTGAACGTTAATCGACTTATAAAGTGTTTTCAGCTCTTTTGCATAACATGATGCTAACCCATTTTACCTTCGTAAATTACGATAAATGATAATTCAACAGTTTATATAGACGATTTGCTTATTGAAATATATCGTACTTGTGTGAAAAATACTTTAGATACATCATAGTCTTCTTAAACTTTTGTTCGTTTTTCAGAAAAAAATATTCAAAATAATTTTTTCCCATAGACACTGTCCAATTGATCAACGTTGTAAGCCATTTTTGGACATCATTCGAAATCTTTTTTATTTTTTTTTATAACAATTTTGTCGAGAGAAAAAAGTCGTATAGCTTATAAAATATTCAGCGCAGGATCTCTTAAAATGACTAAACGGAAGCTGATACACTGTAATATATTGCTAAAAGAGTCTCATTTTTCCACTAGAAAATAACGAGTTATAGATAGTATTTCATAGATAACTCTCGATTAGTCCATGGAAATCTAACATATTAAAAGATGATTTTGTTCAGCGTCGAAGCCGTATCTTTTGGTATATTACACGAAAAATTTCATAAAATTATTGTCATCTAAAAGAATCTTAACTTTCTATGCAGGATTTTTTAGTTTTCCTCAACTAAGACTCTTACCCTGTGATAGGTGCATTCGAGCTAACTTTCCAAGGGCTCAACGAAATGCTCTAAAAGTTTGGATTTAGCGGTTTTAGATGATGCTGAACAAAATAAGAACATAAAAACAAAAATTCAAATTTTATCGAGTACTTCAATATCTACCACGATACTCGATCATCTCACGAACTCTCTTTTAAAAGCTTGGAGCCTGCTCATGGAAGAATCAGTTTTGTTAAATACGATCTGAAAAGAATGTTGAACTCTTTAGAGGTAGACATATGGACTCACCTCCCTTTCCTCCCCACAGACCATGACAGACAAGGTCTGGAGTTTGTTTATCGTCTCTCTTTAAGTTAGGAAGTACTGATTTTGTCTTTTAAAACTCAATTACTAAGTTATCGTGTGTGTGACTATTGGTTCATGCATTCCAAGTTGAACCTGACGTTGCTTGCAAACGAAGCAAAACTGAGGTTTTGTGAATTATTCCTTTATCACAAACAAACAAAATATTACGCATTTTCGTCTAAAATGCAGTAGTATCATTCTTTACACTGCAAGAAACAGAACGCTCTTGTTGTATCTTACTCCGTTTTAAAAGTTTTCATATTGATGTTGCAGCTTTGTTTCATACACCTATTTTCAAAAATATCATTCATAGAACACATTAATCGATACATTCCCTGGAGAATTTGTTTGATTGCGGAACTTACGTACATTTTCAAAGAACATAGTCAGTATAAATTTTAAGACCAAGATGTTCCAGTTCCCCTCCTCCTCCACCCCATGACAGACACATAGCAACAGGAACAGAAGATTACTGGTGTAACCCCTCTTCTCCCACCATCTCCCCACTCCCATTACAAACAGGCCATTATTACAGACCTCAGCAATTGCGCAGAATTCAGATCTTCTACAATTTTCTAGTGCACTCATAATTATTCGAAACGAAGACTATTTTTTAGTTTAGAAATAATGCATTATGATAACAACTCGGAAGCACATACGTAAGTTCCACATTTCAGCTCCAAAGGAGCTGCGTTGACAAGCTTTTGCACTTGTTTTCTTAGCATACTTTTTCGGTTATTTGTGAAAAGAAAAATACCACAACTGCTTTTTTTCATTTGAATTTTCGTTTCCTTTTCATGAAATTAAAGAAGACCATAAAAATCTTTATTGGGCTTAACCTTGAAAATAATAAAAATGTCTACAAAAAAATTGAAAATAAAATATTGTCTCTTTATCAGGCGCAAAGCCAGATTTAACTAAAAAATAAAGAGTAAATAATCCAAAAAAGATCAGATAGAATTCGTGCCAAAAAAAATCGTAATCGTCTGAAACGATTTTTCCAGAAATTTGATGAACTATCGAATGCAGTTACCAAAGCCTACCGAAAGCAGTGGTCCCAAAGCATGTCTGCAATGAGTATTGTAGTTCAGTTCGGAGCTACCACTCTAATTAAGAACATGATCAAACTGGGAGTACACTCTAAAGCTAAGATACCAACTGAGGACAAAAATAGAACTCAACTGTTATAAAAATGAGTACTGCTCCATGAAAAGCTTTGGGATAGTACAGAACAATGAGTAATAACTGAGCGAGATGCTTCCCTTGATAGAGTGACTACTGAACAGAATCAGTCTGACAGATCTTGATACCAAGGTTGAAGTTGATAATGTAACTGATTCTATCGATTGAGAGTGTAAGTTGTGTCAGAAGCTGATTTCCCACCGAGATAGATAACAGAATGATGATTTGAATTACAACCGAAATAAAAATAACGACTAGAAAATGAATCTGAATCAAAGCAAGGATACTCACGATGATAGTGGCCGAGGCAGATGTCGAAAGTGACTCTCAAGTTTCTTTGAGGGTCAGAAAGGATACCGAGGACTGGACCTCATCCAAATGTCGATTTTTGAGGAGGAATATGTGTTTGGACAAGAAATGCTTCCAAAAGTGGTAGTAGAAACCAATATCTTCTGTCATAGGCAGAAGGGACCATTGAGCTCGTTTTTAACAGGATCGATGATATAAATCAGCGTATTATTAGTTGTGAAGCCTGTATATTTTACGTATCCTGTGCAATGGTAGAAAGAAAAAGAAAAAGAAAAAGAAAATCGTGATATTATGCACATTTTTCCAACAATCGACTAACTTTCCCTCTTTATTATTCAAGCTGTCTCATCGATAAGTGATAGAGCAAGCAAAAGAATAATAACATTTTTGTCGGAAAAAACCCAGTCTGTTTCATTAATATATGATCATGCTTTATCCAACGTATACGGTTGAATGCACGCCAGCCAAGCATTGTTTCGATATGTACATAAGCAAAAGAATAATAACATTTTTGTCGGAAAAAACCCAGTCTGTTTCATTAATATATGATCATACTTTATCCAACGTATACGGTTGAATGGACGCCAGCCAAACATTATTTCGATACACATATAAGCAAAGTATTACTTTCATTTTCTTTATTAAACAACATCGATACATTACCAAGGTATTATATTCGTTATTACAATATTCGTCAATATCGCTCTATTACAAGAAGCAGACGTAAGTCTTTTGATATTGCAGTCTCTCTCGTAAGCCCTTTTAGTCTATCGGTGTTCAGAAGACTTTTCTATCCTGAAATGATACCAGTAATTAAGTATAGTTTATGTGAGTTTTATACTGTGTCTAAATGTATGAAAAGAAGAAAATGAAACTAAATATTGGTAATTTTTGCCAGTTTTATGAAAATAGTGAAGAACCTAGTCACTTTTTCTTGTTAATGCAGAC